AAAAAAAAAGAAGCACACCTCGACTGTCCCGCCTCACAAACGAGGCTCTTCTCAGAGCCCAGGGCGGTAACCGGCCTGAGCAGCCACTCACCCTGAAAGGCAAACAGGACCGCTGGTATAGTGTCATCATGCAAGGCTCGCTCCTCTCCCGAGGCTCTGGGCAGAAGACGCAGCCCCAGCCCTGAAAGCAGCCAGAGGAAGTCAGAGGCCACCAACGTCTCTTTCCCCACAGGCCAAGGTCCCTCTGATGAAGACCCGTGGCTTCTAGCATGCTGTCTGTGATGGAAGGTTGGGTAAGCATCAGGAAACGGAAGGAGCCTTCACGCCTGAACCGCATTTCAGGGAAATGGCCTGAAAAGACCTTGTTTCAAGGACAAACTCTTTTAAGTTTGAAAAAAAAGGGCATTTTTTTTTTTGAGATGGAGTCTCACTCTGTCACCCAGTCTGGCGTGCAGTGTCACGATCTTGGCTCACTACAACCTCCGCCTCCCGGGGTCAAGCAATTCCTCCTCAGCCTCCTGAGTGGCTGGGATGACAGGTGTGCGCCACGCTGGCTGATTTCTGTGTTTTTAGTAGAGATGGGATTTCACCATGTTGGTCACACTGCTCTCAAACTCCTGACCTTGTGATCCGCCCACCTCGGCCTCCCCAAAGTGCTGGGATGACAGGTGTGAGCCAACGTGTCTGGCCCCCAAAAAAGGCCAATTTTGAGGCTACAGTTTTATTCATAGCTTTGGAAATACACAAATGATAAACAGAAAATAAACAAAATGCCTGGTACTACAAAAGGACCCAAACAATGTGCGTTTCTTCCGGGGCCTGACAAAAAGAGGCAAAATCCCCCCATGGTGAGAGGGAGGAGGCTAAACTTATTTTCCAGTGATTGTTTTTTGACAGACTTCTACCAGGATATCTGAGAACAAACCCTCAAGTCAGTACGTGGGCTTGAAAACACCAAGGGAACAGCCGGCGCTGTTCACGTAACAAAAACCACCGTGTCCTCGGCACCGCCTGCCTGGCTGAGGGCGGGCTCCCTGACGGCCCGCGTGCAGTCTAGTGGACGCGTCCCAGGCTCCGCCTGACCCCCCTGGCCCCGCCTGACCCCCCTGGCCCGTGGCTCTAAGCCTCCTTATCCCTCCTCCTGCCCCCACTCCTGGCCCGGTCTCATGAGTCTCACTCAAATGCACTGTGTTGTCGACTCACCTCGGTAAATAAATCATGCTCTAAAACCACCGATGATGCAAGAGGATGAAGACCTATTTTAAGACACTCATGAGAAGTCACTATAAACAAACTCGCAGGTCACAGAAATCCCATGTCAGGACCTGTGTTCTTTGTGTTAAACACACCCGAAACAGGACGTACTGGGGTGAGACAGCGGTAAGGGGCGAGCTGGTTTCTGCAAGATATGCACCCTCCCTCCCCGAGACAGCCTGCACTGAGAAGCCCATCAAGGCCAGCGCTCCACCCTCCTACTCCCTACACCCAGGAGAGAACAGAGGGAGCCAGCTCTGTTAGAACAGAGCAGGGAGGTCTCACAGAGCAGAGGGAGCCTGTGGGTGGGAAGCCTCCTGGGCTGAACTCCGGGACCCCCTGGAATCACAGCAGACCACACGTGGCAAGGCAGTGATAGGCTTGCCCCAGCGGCTCTCCAGGCTGCCCATGCTCCACCCTGAGGCCAGCAGCATCGCCTGGCGGGCGGGGGCAGGGGGCTTACCAGACGTTTGGTCACCTCTGCTCTTCACACTTGAGCTGAAGCCCTTCTAGTTCTCCCTGTCCCACAGTCCCCGTCCTCTGTGCCAGCCTCTCTGGTCCTGTCTTTCCTCTTTGGGCACCAACGGTCAGCAGACACCACTGCCCTGCGGCCCGTTGCTGTCCCACACGGCCCTGAGGAATCTGCCCCACGGCCCACAGAATCCTACAATCAGATCAGAGCTGCGGGTATGTTTGGATAAGCACAATGTCCCTGCTGCTTTCAAAGAGGCGAATCTGCTCAGCAGACGTCAGAGTCCCATCAAGAGGAAAGCAGCTTGCCAAGAACGCAGGGCAGGTGAGCTTTCCTGGATCTGGAGACGTGGGCAAGGAAGAGGAAATGGGAGAAGCCCGTTTTAAACAATACTGTTGACAAGCACATTGGCTTTGAGGGTTCCTGGGCTGAAGACACCCCACCCTGAGCCATGACCTCCCCCTGGCTCGGTCAGTAGTAACAAACGAAAGGTCTTCTCAGTACCAGTCAACACGTCCTCGTAAGAACCGGACACAAAGGACCCAGACGCAGGGAGAAGGAAATAAACACCAGCACTAAACCTGTCCCTCAGAGTCCTTCTACCAAGAGCCCCCTGGGCTCAGCCTGGAGAAGAGACTGGTGCTGCAGGGCCCTCCAGGGCTGCGACGGCCGTTCCTGCACAGCTCCAGCTCCGCGGCTTTCGGGGCCTCTCCTGGCCAACAGAACATCCACACTGAGCCCTGTTCTCCTGGCCATTCCCAGGTGACTTAGGCAGGTCAACTGCAACTGCATTTCAGAAACGTTTTGACCTGACTTGCTCCCAGTAACAGAGTCCCGCAGTCAGGGCAGCAGAACCTTTCAGAGTACACACTGTCCCGGGCCCGAAGGTCGCAGAAGGCTGGGAAGCCTCTGGTGAGGCCTGTGGGAGACGATCCCCTGGGCAGGGCCTGCAAGTTCAGCTCCTGCAGCCCGTAGCCACTCAGTCTCAAGTCCCAGCAGGGGTCCCTGAAGATGCCGTTCAAACAAACCCTAAGAAGCACTGCCTCTCATAAGCTCACTGTAAGTTGGGAGGCAGGACTCACACCTGCTCCCATTCTCATCAGCCTCCACTTCCCTAGACGCCCTTCCCTGGCTGGGCACCTCAGAGAGATGGTGACGCTAGCGACCCCGAGGATGCCACAGCAGCAAACACATCAGATGCACCAGGAGCACATAGCTTAGAGAAAATGGCCTGGGTCTGAATGCCAACCTTCCCAGGGAGCTAGGAGGCAGTCAGCAGCAGGCCTGTTCACTCCAGTATTTACTGGGCAGCTAAGACAGGCCTGGCATCCTTTCAGGGGGCTGGGGCTACAGAACAGACACCCTCCGGCCCTCGGGGGATTCACCTACAAGCAGACTGAGCCTACAGCTGAAGCGAGTGCCAAGATGGAGAAGTATGCGAAGCCGCAGTGGCTACTCAAGGCTGGTTTCTCCTGGTGAAGCTGCCCCCGGGAAGCCCTCATGCCTGAAACATGGGTAGAGCAGGAGAGCAGGGGTTGGCTGGCTCAAATCTTTCTAGAGTCTGCCACTTTCTATCCGGTTGACCCTGGGCAAATCAGTTCACCAGTTCGGGCCTTAGTTATTGGGGGTAGTTCGCGTTCCTGCCCCAGGGGTGGCTGTGAGGTGTCCGCGGGTCAGGAACTTGGCAAAGTCTAGAACAGGGCCTGGCGCGCCGTCATGACTGACAGCATGGCTATCGAGCATGAGGGTCTGCAGCGGACCGTGGAGAGGCCAGGGCAGAAGTGCAGGCCGCCTTGAAGACCATGGAAGGCACGGGTGGCTTTTAAACCAGAGGCACGAATTCCCAAGTCCCATGGCCGCCTGAACTCACGCCTGGTGTCCACTCGCCAGAGAGCGGGGCCTGTGCACTGACCGTCCGGCTCGCGGGCCACAACTGGCCAGGCCTCGGGAACGCACGGCCTTTTCGGGGCCACTCTGCCAAGGGCTTCCCGTCCGGCTCGTCCTCCTCTCCACCAGAACTAAGGACCCTAAATCTCAGGCGGGCCACCGGCCAAGCGGCGAGACCCAGACGCCCAGCTGCTGATGCGGCCGAAAACATAACCCTCCGCCTTCTTCAGGGCCAGGCTGGCCGCCGACCCTCCCACCTCGCGGCGGGTAACGCTGGCCCCTGGCCCCCAACCTCCCAGGACGCCCGCGCGAACTACCAGGCCCGGCATGCCCCGCTCTGGTCCGCGCGGCGCCTGCCGGGAGCTGTAGTCCGGCCCTCGCCCCGAACCCGCGCATCGGCGCCCCCGCGGACTACAAGGCCCATGAGTCGGTGCGCGGGGCCCACGGACTACAAGGCCCGTAAGGCTGTGCGTCAGGCCCGCGCCCCCGCCCTTCGTCCTTCCCGCCGCCCCCGCTCGCTGGCCGGCCGCCGGCGCCCCGCCTGTTCCCGCGGCCCGCGCCCGGCGCCCGGCCTGCGGCTACCTATGTCGATGGCGAAGCGCTTGGCGTTCTCCAGGTTGCGGAAGATCTCGTCGGGAGGCAGCGTGATGCTCTTGTCCAGGCTGTCCCCGCTGCTCCCGCTGCCGCTTGCTCCACACTCCGCCATTTTGAAAGTGCCCGGCCAGCTCATCAGCCATGGAGATATATGCGCATATATTTGACTGCTAAACGCCTCCTTGCATATATTATGCTAATGAGGCGCCGGCCCCGCCCCAGCGGCCTCTGCGGTCTCGGCCGCTGCTGGAGCGACTAGGGCCAGTACTGTGCGGGGGTCCGAGAGGCCCGGGGCTGCGGGCGGGCGGGGGGTTACCCTTCAGAGATTGCGCATCAGCACAGAACATCTGGACTGATGTTCTTTTACCGCGCTGTCCACAGGCTTAACTCAAGTGCTCTGAGCCCTGTTGAGGGAGGCTGCCCACCTGCTTCTCAGGGGGCACGTGGGTCTGCAGACCATCAAAGACCCCTGCACTTTCAGCGAGTCCCTGCTTTCAGCTTGGCCCTGCATGCCAGGGCGAATGTGATGTGTTCTTTGCTAGGGTGACTCAATCCTGGCTTCCTGGGGGGGGGGGGGGGGGGGGGGGGGGGCTTGGGGAGGACTTTCAATGTTAAAAGTCCCATGCATACCAGAGGAGTGGGGAACCCTGCCCTGCCTGAGAGGACCTCAGCCCAGCGTCACCTGTGTGTAGGGAAGGTGTGTGCTGTCATGGCGATCCACGGAAAGTGCTGTGGCTGGGAGAAGCTAGGCAGGCTGCCTGCGGGCAAGACAGGTGCCTGGGAGGCCAAAGGGAGCAAGCATGGAAGCAGCTGGAGCCAGGACAGGGGTATAGGTGGGGCAGGCCAGGATTCCAGGGAGTAGAAGGAAAGCCCTGCTGGCGTGAAGAGACGCGTCTTCTCCAGAGGCCCTGCGCGCCTTGGAAAGAGCCCAGTGTTGGCCGCAGACAGCTCAGGCCTTCCTGGTAACCGGGGTCATGATAGCACGTCTCTGGCCCTCAGCCTCTGTCTGCACGTGGAGAATGCCACCAGCTGCCTGGCGGGCCTCCTGGGCGCACAGGCCTGTGGGCAGCGCAAACTCCAGGGATGATGCAATAGTGTGCTCGGGGTGAGGCTTCGGGGAGGAGGCATCCTTGCTGTGTCTTCCAAGGGGTGGGTGTTGGGCTCTGGAAGGGGAGCCTGCCCCAGGGAGGCCTGGGTGAGGAGCTGAGCACACCCCGGGCAGCTCAGACCTCTGGCGTCTCAGACCCCTGGCAGCATGGTGTGCCGTGGGCCAGACTGGCAGGAGGTGCCCTCCACCAGGGGCACCCACCTGTGTGCCCACTGAACATGCCAGAAACATGCTGGTGAATGGGGACCCTCCCTGTGCTCTGCCCACCATACCCAGGGGCTTGGTAGGGACCTCAAGAGGCCACTGACAGGCACTGGGCTGGTGAGGAGAGGGGGGCGAGGACCCTGTCTAGACATTGCCTGCCAAGTAACCAGAAAGGGGCTGAAGGCTGAGCAGGTTGAGAGGGGCTGAGCAGGAAGGAGCAGGCAGAGCTGACCTGTGCCTGGGCTGCCATTCAGCGCGGGTGGGAGTGCGTCCCACTCCAGCCCAATCCTTGCCCGTTGGGTTTTGCCCTGTGGGAGCTGGTCCCTGGAAGTTGTAGTTCTTGCAGACTCAGCCAACACCCTGTGGCTGGCTTAAAAATACATGCCCTTTCTGAGGCAAGGGACAGCCCCAGGTCCCACCCTGGCACGGCGGCCAGCCTGTTGGAGTCCATTCCAGGACTGGTGCCGCAGGCTGTTGGAGTGGGGCAGGGACTAGGGGCAAATGTTTCTTCCTGTTTGTTTGGCCTGGCTGAGCCCCCTTTGGGTGTAGTGAGGTCTACTGCAGCCTGTGGCCCTGGGTCCCCTCCCAGTGGACAGAGCCTAAGGTCCTGCAGCTGTCATCTTGCCCCACCCCCACCTTCCAGGAGCTAGTGAAAGGCCTGAGGGGTACCCAGGGCTGGGACCACGTCCACTCCTCCAGCCCGCTTCCCCCTGCCCCTGCCGTTCTGCTCCTCACCTTCTTTCCCTCCGTCTGTCCCTCCCTCTCTCCCTTCTTCCCCAGCCAGGACCCCACCCTTCTTCATGGATCCAGGGGCCGCTGGCAGGGGTCCCTCCCCCATTAGCTGCTACCATGGCCCTGCCCATTCCCGTTCACCCCTGCAGACCCGGCCTGTGGCTGCCAAGCACAGGCGTGAGGCACAGCAGCAGACAGACCGAGGGGGCTGAACAGTCAGATTTTATTAGCTGCTTCAGAGCAGTCCCGTGGCTTCCACGTGACCAAGAGTTCAATTTCTGAGTACAAAGTCGTGCCCACGTGCACCCACCCACACAGAGGAATCCTTTAAGGATCATAGTGGAGGCACCCACCCTCCCCAGACGGTCCACTGTGAGCCCCAGCCAGACCGCCAGGCACATTTGGAGCCTTTTGGCCACGGCCCACAGGGTCCTCCTCGCCTGTCCAGGCTGATCACTGTTTCCTATGAGGATACAGCTTGAGTTCGGCCTTCACAAAAGGCAAATGTGCCCTCGGCACAGCCCGCCTGCCAGGGGTGCGCCCAGCAGCAACGGGCCCTGAAGAAAGTCCTCTACGGCTGGGGGCACCGGCGTGCCAGCCCCAGCGCTACAAATATCATAGAACCCCGGGCGGCCGGGGACTTCGCAGAAGTCACTTGCTTAAATGCAAACACAGAACAACCCCATGGGGTCAGACACTTGGCAGAAGCTGGGCCCTGATTGTCCTAAATGGCAGGGACTCTGCATACACATTCTCTGAGAATAAGACTGCTGCGGGCCGGCCAGCCTGGGGCCGGAGCCTTCCGGAGAAGGGAGCGTCCGAGCCCGGGGCTGACGGCGGCAGGAAGGCGCTTCCCTACGGGCGGGAGGAGCGGACTTGCCCTCTGGTCCTCGGGCCGCGCGCCCGCAGGTCCCGCCGGGTCACCAGGGCCGCCAGAGGCCGCAGGCGGGCTGGCGCGCGGCGGCGGCGGTGGCCTTGGCGGAGGGTGGGGGCGCGGCGCCGGGCGCCTTGTGCTCCTTGGCGGGCGCGGCGGGCGCGGCCGGGGGCCGCTGGAAGTGGTACAGCAGCTTCATCTGCGTGTCGCTGGCGGCGTGCAGCGTCAGGAACTGCACGGCCTCCTGCAGGCACCACGAGTAGCCTTCGCTGTAGTCCTGGTGCAGGCTCTTGGGGCCGGCGGCGGCGACGAAGGCTGCGGGGAGACGCGGCGGCGGTGAGCGGGCGGCGGGGCGCGGGGAGACCTCGGGGCGCCGGGGTACGGCGGGGCGCGGGGGAGCCGGGCGCGCTCACCTTTGCTGTGCTTCAGGTAGCTGACGGCCATCTCCAGGATGTCGGCCTTCTCCAGCTTGGAGTTGGGCTGGTGCCGCGCGAACTCCTGCTCCAGCAGCAGCTTCAGCTGCTCGATGCTGCTGTTGATGCGGTCGCGGCGCATCTTCTCCACCACCGGCTTCCGCAGCTGCGGGAGGAGGCGGCGTCAGGCGGGCCGGGCCCCACCTGGCGCTGGAAAACCCCCGGGAACCGCGCGCCGGGCGAGGCTGGCACTTACTCGGTTTTTCTCTTTGGGGCTGAGCAGCTCCACGGCCACGGTGCTGGGGGCCATGCCAGGCGCGGAGGAGGCGAGGAGGCGAGGCGGGAAGGCCGGACAGGGCGAGCGGGAGCGGGCAGGGCCAAGCACGTCCCAGGCTGGCGCGGACACTGGCCTGGCGCGCCGGCTCCCCTTATATAGGCGCGGGCGGCGGCCTGGCGCCTGGGGTCCGGGCGCCGCGGCCGTTCCCACACTCCGCGGCCAATGGCCGCGCGGGCCGCACAAAGGCGCCGGCCCATTAGCGCACGCTAAATTGCCTGTGAATTGGCGCGGGCACAATGGGCGCTCCCCAAGGAGCAGGTGGGCCGCGCCGCACAATGTCCCGGCTGTGGGAACGCGCTCGCCCTCATTAGCATCCCGGGGCCTGATGCCGGGAGCCCCGCGCCTCAATATGCTGCCTTTTCCCAGGCCGCCAATGGGGAGGGGGCAGGAAGGAGCGCCCCCTCCCCTGCCCTTCCCTCCGCTCCCCTCTCCTCCCTCCCCGCAGCGGCTCCCCACTGCTGGCTGGCAGAGGCCACAGGCACAGATTAAGGGAAAAGCTGTGGAATGAACAAGTGCGCGGCTTCCTGGGGGATGGGCACCTACCCTGATGGGGACAGAAGGGGCCACGCTCTTAGGATCAGTCCTACTGGCCTCTGTTACAAGTCTCCGGACTGTCACCTGGGACTCATGACTTCTCCAGAGCTAGAAAATGGGGCTTTCGCTTTCCTGGCTGGGCTCCCGGAAGCTCCAGGAAGCTGGAGCCCGTGCTCCACGTGGAGCCCGGCACCGGCGGCTCTTTACGTTTCCTGCACCCTGTCCTCCTGGGAGCACTGGGGCTGCTCCAAGAGCTGGCAGGTGTCCCTCAGGGGCCTCTCCCCACCCCAATCTGGCCAGGGATCTGACCATAGTGTCCCAGCCCCTCGGGGGGCCTCGGCTCTGGGCACACCTGGTTGGGCCCTGTTTGTGCATGCCACACCGCACCTCGTTCGCAGCCGGGGCACTTGTAGGGCTTGCTTTCCGCCGGCATTTTGCCAGTGGGTAGGGAGTGGGTGCCAGGTGGCAGACTTGAGGATCAGAGGCCGTGCCAGCCCTACATCCCCTACCCCCCCCATGGGATGAGCTAATAACCCTGGTACCTGGCCAACTGAGCTGAGTGCCAGTAGCCGCTGTGGGGCAATGAATCCCACCCTGGGTCCTTAGGAGAGGGTCCCTTGGGAGCCACCCAACCCCCAGCCTGTGGTCACAGTTCCTCTGATGCTCTGCAGCAGAGACCAGAAGATTCAGGGCCTGGGCTGTCTCCTAGGGACAGGTTGGGACCCTGCCAACTCCTAGCGGAAGGGCCTCAGTCCCCGGAGCTAGGGCTGGCATCAGGGCTGGTTAGGCAGAGTTGGTATCCAGGAGTAGGGTTCCCTGGCCAGCTGGCAGGGTCCAATGAGAAGCCTGGCCCTGAGGCTCTTGGCAGTGACCCCCGGCTCCGAGTGACCCGCTTGGTGGGCCTAGCTCCAGGAGGCCCTCAGCACAAGGATGGACGGTCCAGGGGGCAGCCAGGACAGTGCTAGGTCATCAGGGGAAGGCAGGACCTCAAGCCAGCGCAGGGTGGCCCTCCCGCAGGCCAGCAGTACGCCACTGTGACGGGTTAGGCTGGGAGGCTCCCAGGAGGAAACGTCACGTGACTTTGGAGGTGGCAGGAGGGGAGCCCCTATTCACCCTCTGATACATGTCCTTGCTGGATTCCCACAACACCTCCCTTGAGGGGGACTCATGCCCCAGGCTGGCAGAGGGAGGTGGCATCACTGGGGGCTGGGACTGCCACACCCTGAGCTGGGGGCTCCTCTCTGAGCAAGTGGGTCCCACCATGACACTCTGGCCTTTGATGGATGCAAGAGCACAAAGGTGTGTGTGTGTGGGGGGTCCAGGCCATGTGCTCAGGCTGTGGCTCCCACACCCTTGGGCACTGATAGCAGCTGGCACTGTCCATGGGCCACAGACCCCCCCAGCTGCACGGGGGAGCTGGTGGTGTTCAGTGGAACCATTTTGCAGCTGAAGTGGGGTTCATGCTGGCTGCAGTCACATTGTGGCGTGTCCCTTGCCTGGCAATGGGCTCCCTGGGGTTGGACTGGGGGTAGGGAGGGCAGGAGAACGTAGTCATGTGTGTGATCATGACCTACACCCTGCTGGCCCAGCAACCACACTGAGGAGGTGCTCAGCTAGGGGCTAGAGGTTGCAGGAGCACAGGCAGGCGGCCCCAGCCACACAGGCCCTGGCCATCCCCTCTGCCAGCAGGAAATGGAGCCTGAGCCATGTGTGCCCTGACTGCCCTGCTGCTGGCAGCGGGACCCGGGCCTACACCCAGGTGTAGGGGTGGTACCCTGGCCAGGCCCTGCTCCCGCAGGCTTTGGAGGGGCAGGTGGCTGGGGCTTGTGTCCTGGCCTGGTCCCTTCCCCTAAGCCAGCTCCTTGGCCCACAGGAGACACGTGCCGCCAGGAGATGTGGTCCAGCCCCCCCATACCCCCACGGCCCGCCCACCCGCAGTGGGCCAGGACGGTGGCCTGCCGGAGGTGAGGGTGGTGGGTGGGCCGTGTGGGGGCTGCCGCCTCCTGCCTCCTCCTCCCTCCCCCTGGACTGCAGCAGTTTTGATCCAATCTTCAGTGGTGGGAAATATGAAAGGAAATGGTGTTGAATCCCGGCCGGATGAAAGGCTGGTTCCCTCCCTGAGTTCGGGCCAGATGGCAGCTCTGGCGGCCTCCGAGGCACACGCCTGGCCTTTGTGGGCCGTTTAACACTGTGAATGGGGCCAAAGTGTGGGAAACTCGCTGGGCTCCCGGCTCACACCGTCCACGGTGGGCTGCGGAGGGGGCTGGAGGAGGGAGGGGGGAGGCTGCTCCAGGCTGGCGGGCCGCGCCACGCAGAAGCGCCAAAGCGCTGCGGACGTGTGGGGGGCTGGGCTCCTCTGTCTTGGCTGCCCCAGCAGCTCAGTGTGGGATGGGGGAATTCTTCCCTAGTGGGGCTTTGAGGAGTGAGGGAGTTTGTCTTGTGTGGACTTCTCTGAGCCCCCCACTGTGGAGAGCTCAGTAAGCCTGAGGGGCTTGTTGGTTGTGGTGGGGATGGCGCATCCAGGGCTGAAAATGCTCCTCCCCTTGGCACACACAGCTGTTGAGGCAGCGCACTTTGCAGCCATCACCACTGCCCATCTTCATGAGATGTCTCCCCAGGCTGAACCTCTGTCCCCCCAGAGCGCTGACTCCCGGTTCCCCTCCCTGGCTCGGCAGCTGTTGAGGCGGGCACTTTGCTGGGGGCTAGAATGCAGCGTCGAGAACCGTGACCCCTTTCCAAGCCATTTGCTAGCCCAGCACCACTCCCCTCCAGGGCTGGCAGCAAAGTGAAGAGCTCCTCGGAGGGGAGGGGCCCGCTGGGGCTGAGGGTGGCGGTGGGAAGCTCCAGGGGCTTCTGCTCCCAGCTCCAAAGGAGGCCGTGATGCTGGGAAGTCAACTGGTGCAGATGCTGGGAAACAGGCTGGCAGTCCTTCAAAAAACTAAGGACGCAGCAGCTCCACTTCTGGGTCCACACACAAGGGGCCGGAAGGCAGGGCTTCGGGGAGACACTCGAGTGCCTTCCTCAGAGCGGTGTGGCCCTGAATCTAAGAAGTGGACACCGCCCCAGTGTCTGTGAACAAACACATGTGGCCCATCCACGTTGTGGACCGTTCTTCAGCCTCAGAAGAGAAGAGAAGGCGGTTCTGACTGTGGCCACAGCAGGCCTGCACACTGAGGACTCTGTGCCCAGTGACGAAAGCCGTCACAAAAGGGCCCACCTGTGTGACTCCAGCATAGGAGGCTTTAGAGGCGTCAGATCCACAGAGACAGAAAGTGGGGTGGGGGTGGGTGGAACAGGCAGCGAGTGTTTCCCAGGGACAGAGTCTGGGCTTGGGAGAGGGACATTTTCTGGAGGTGGACAGCGGTGACGGGGGTACAACCTCTCGAATGATATTCATGCTGCAAATCCGGACGCTGGGAAGCGGCAGTGATCGCTGCTTTATGTTATCTATATTCTGCCACTGTTGGAGAAAACAAAAAGGAACTTTTCCGAGCAGAACCACGAACCTCTCCTGCGGCCCCTCCCGACCCCGGCAGTGTAGCCGCCAATGCCCCCAGGCCCCGCCTCCTTATGGCCACACCCTGCTGCCAGTGGAGAAATTGAGGTGTGGCACCGTGCACCCCCCACCTGGCGTTCCTGTCCCCATGGGTTTCCAGCTTGGGGTGTGGGGAACAGGCAGGCTGGTGCGGGTCCAGAGCCAGGCCGACCTTCTGCGGAAGGAGGGTCGGGGTAACCAGAGCTCCCAGCTTTTCCCCTTCCCGCCCCGGAAGCCCTTGCTGGGGGCTCTGGGTGGAAACTGCTTGAAGCTTGCAGAACGCCCTGCTGCCTGGGAAGTGAGTTCAGGGAGGTGGTCCCCTTCCGGATTTCAGAGACAGCAGCCTCCTCTACATCCAGGACCCTGCCCGAATGGTGACCTGCAATGTCCTGGGCATATCCGCATGTGGGGCTCTGCCCTAGGGCTCGGACATCCCCCCACCCACTGTCAGCAGCCAGTCCACCTGCTGCAAGGAGCCACTGGCATGATTCCCCAGGTGTGAACAGATGCAGCCGGCCAGGTGTGACCCCGAGTCTGACCCGCAGCCAGGGAGGACACCTGTCCATGGGAGGGCGAGCGTCTGCCTGGAGAGGAGTAGGCACCTTTTGGCTGCTCAGTTGGGCTGGGGTGGGGAGGGGTTGAGATCTCCCCTGGGGGCGGGTAGGGGGTTGAGATCTCTCCTGGGGGAGGGGTTGAGATCTCTCGTTGGGGCTCCAGGTGGGAGCTGCAGTGGGGGAGGGAGAAAGAGTCCCCAGGCTCTGGGCACCTGGGAAGCACCAGGTGGAACATGCAAGTCTGGCTTCCTGCACCCGCCCACATGTTCCTGTGCTCACTTTCCAGCTGGGGGGCTGGGGCGGAGTCTCACAGAGTTTAAGTGAGGTGCTCAAGGTCGGATCATGTACTCTAGGTCAGCTAACAGGGGAGTCAGCACTCAGTATTTGCCACGTATGTCGTGCGTACTTGTCAGTTTAGACTTGACTTTGGAGCCGGGAGGTGGGCACTGTTCATTTTCTCTTTACCCTGAGAGGTGCCCACACCACACAGCTGGTGGGGGTCTGCCCTGAGACGGGCACCTGTGGTGGTGTGTGCACTCTTCTTCCTGAGGAGCTGGGGGGAGGGGAGTGGAGGAAGGGGAGGGGTGTGCGGAGCTGGGGGAGGGCGTTGGTGAGGGATGGTTTTGGGCTGCCCCGGCTGCCTGCAGCCCTCCACCCTCTGGCACTGGGAGAGCCAGACATCGATCTGATCAGTGCTGGGAGCTGGAGCTCCAGATGGGTGGTGGCCTGCACGGACGCGCAGACGAAGGGAGGCCGCCCTGTGTCGCCGGGCAAGGCCACCAGGAGTTCCGAGTGTGGGAGCCACCGGCTGCTCGGCTCCTCTGGGCTCTCTCTTATCTTTGGGGGTGCTCCGTGGGGGTAGTGGCTGAGGCCAAGAGGGAATCCTCAGCCCTCTCCATGCCCTGGCCCCTCTCCTAGGCCAGTGGTGGCCTCCCTGTGGCCTCAGTTCCTTGCACCCCTCCCCTCCTTAATGAAGAACTGAACCGAAGACCTGGGTCCAGAAATGGGGCTGGTCCCAGCTCCTCCCCACAGCCAGCACCCTCGGTGGGCAGCCTTACTTCCTTTGGTCAGCAGATGCCTGGGCACACGTGCTGAATGGGACTGAGGCTTGGCTCTTCCACGGGGGCTGGGGACACGCTTACCTGTGGGGGGCTGCTCCAGCATGGAGCTGCGGTGAAGCCAGGCACAGCAGCTGGGCTGGGGCCCGCCTGACAACTGGTGGCAGAATTGGCAGCAACACACCCCCCAGCAGAGCAGCACAGTTTGGGGCATAGATTTGGTTGGTTTTTCATGTCTGTGTTTTCTTGAATGAGCATTTATTGCTTGTGCAGGTTTTGAAACGGCTCCACCACACACCAACACACACACACACACACACACACACACACACACGTGCATACACACGCTTAGGCTCCTGCCGGGGCCCCCCGAGGAAGTCACTGCAGTTTCGGGAGGGCGAGAAGGAATCCCTGAAGGGGAAGTGCGTGACCAAGAGGGACTTCCACAGGGGACGGTGACTGAGGAGGGCGTTAGCGAGTTCTGGGTGAGGAGTTCTGGGAAGCAACTTCCAGGCAAAGGGCACAGCAGGGACCAGCTTGTAAGGGAGGCCAGGTGAGCAGGACCCATGAAGGAGACTCCTGTGTATTCACCTGTGTGAGTGCACCTGTGCATGTTTGTGTGTGTGCCCATGTCTGTGTGTACCAGCGTGCATGTGTGGGTGTGACTTTGTCTTCGTGCGTGTGTGTCTGTGTGTGTCCTATGCGCGGAGCCCCCCAGCATGTGGAGCCTCCCCCGAGCGTGAGGCACTCCCATTTGCTGAGCATCCCCTGTATGCAGAGCAACTCTGATTTTGGATTCCTGTAGGGTCCAGCCCTGCAGGTTCTGTGAGCCGCTCCTGGCTGGTGCAGAGATGAGAAATTGTAGAAAGAAAACACAAGACGGAGAGAGAGAAAAGAGTTTGGGCCCAGGGGTCCACTGCTACCCAGATCGCAGAGGCCAGCCGGGACGCTCTCACTTTTTTTGAGTTGCAAATCTGGGGGCAGGGTAGGTAGGGTGTGGCAGTGACAGGGTCAAGTACATCACCTGTCACTCAGGTGGGGGCTCAGGAATTTCTGGCACCTGAAGTGAGGTAAGGAGCATAATGCATCAGCACCTGTTCCAAACTTATCAAGAAAGAACTAAAACATGAAGATTTATGTTACTATTACTGATTCTCTTTTCTAAGAAAAAAGGAACCAGGTGCAGAAGCAGAGCACGAGAGTGGACCTGGAATGTGACCACTGAAGCACAGCGTCACATAGAGATTAAGCCCCGGATGTCTACGGGCTTCCCTGACAGTTGTCAGGCCTTACCACAAGAACTTGGAGAAGCGGAGTTTCTCCTAACTTCCCCAGGAAGGAAAAGCCTCAGCCATCTTGGATGTCTCCTTCCCTGGCTGGCTAAACAGTGGGCACTTTCCCAGCGCTGGTGCTGCCGCACAGCCCAGGCGCCCTCCAGCAGCGTGACAGAGGGCTTAGAGCATCTCCATTTCACAGTCACCCCAGGTTCACACTTCCTACCGGAGAGGCATTAGTAAAGGAATTAAGATCACCTATGAATAACTAAGGTCACCTATGGATAACTAATGATGACTAAGGTTACATTTCTAATTACTTTCTTCTTCATTATTTATATGGAAATAGGCGGAGGACTTTTGCTTCTGCCACAGCACTAATGGGATCTCCCCCTGCAAATTATGATTATCAAGCCCATTGTACAGATGAGGAAACTGAGCCTTCACAAGGTGAGGGGACTGGCCTGCCCAGGTGTGCTCCTGGCCCCACACAGGGGTCAGCCTCTCAGCGTGGACCTTGCAGCAGCTCCCCAAGCTCCGGGCTGTGGAGGCCAGGAACACAGACATCTGCTTAAACCAGCTCTGTGGGGCCTCCACATACCCCTCCATGAACTGGGTGCCTTCCAGACCTGCCTGCCATCTCTGGTGGCACCGCTGACAGCCACAGACAATGGCCAAAACAGCGGCTGTGTGGACTAGCTCCGCTGGTGGGCGGGCTCTGCAGCAGGACCTACAGTTTCTCAGCCCTCCTCTTTCTGTGCCTGTGGAGACACAGAACACACTTCTGCAGTCTCCTGCGACATTTCAGGGGTGTGCTGGGGCGCAGCTCTGGGGTGCAGCTCTGGGAGCAGCTTGAACCTACAGGGGTCCCCCAGGAACGTGTTTCCTTCTGCGAGGCCCCAGGGCCGGCGCTGAGTGGCTTGGTGAAAGCGGCAGGTCCAGGCCAGGGCTGGGGTCCGCCCTTGTCTTTCTCACCTGGAGAGGACACACCCCACTCCTCTCTGAGCCTCAGTTTACCAGTCTATTTGTTTTTGTTTTTTTTTTTTGAGACGGAGTTTCGCTCTTGTTACCCAGGCTGGAGTGCAATGGCGCGATCTCGGCTCACCGCAACCTCCGCCTCCTGGGTTCAGGCAATTCTCCTGCCTCAGCCTCCTGAGTAGCTGGGATTACAGGCATGCACCACCATGCCCAGCTAATTTTTTGTATTTTTAGTAGAGACGGGGTTTCACCATGTTGACCAGGATGGTCTCGATCTCTTGACCTCGTGATCCACCCGCCTCGGCCTCCCAAAGTGCTGGGATTACAGGCTTGAGCCACCGCGCCCGGCCAGTTTACCAGTCTATAAAATGAACTTTCCAGGCCGGACACCGTGGCTCACACCTGTAGTCCCAGTGGGAGGCCGAGGCAGGCAGATCACCTGAGGTCAGGAGTTTAAGACCAGCCTGACCAACATGGAGAAACCCTGTCTCTATTAAAAATACCAAAATTAGCCGGACATGGTGGCACATGCCTGTAATCCCAGCTACACAGGAGGCTGAGGCAGGAGAATCACTTGAATCCAGGAGGCGGAGGTTGGGGTGAGCCGAGATTGTGTCACTGCAGTCCAGCCTGGGCAGCAAGAGCAAAACTCCGTCTCAAAAAATAAAACATTAAAAAATAAAGATGAGCTTTCCTCTGTCAAGGCTTACCACCTTGGTCTCGGGGGCCTGGCTCCAGGCTGCTGGAAGTGAGACCAATCCTGAGGATGGCTGGGAAGGAGCTGGGCACTGCAGTAGCGTCTGCCCCCTCCATGCCCGGTTGCCAAGCCCACGAAGAGCCTCTGTGCGTGGCTGGCCACCTGCTGTCCAATCCTCACCTGAAATATGGCCCATGGCCCAAACAGGTGTCCTAGCACCCTGCATCTGGCCAGGGGCACCAAGGCAGTGGGCAGGACCCTTCACCCACCTGCTGATCTCACACCAACCTGGCCCAAGACACGGGACTGGGAGGTCTGAGCAGGGAAGGCAGGCCTAAGGCCTCGAGTGAGAGCCCTGTGGGCGGCTGGGCCGGGCAGTGGAGACACCATTTCTAAGGCTCACCCTGGCTGGGGTCTGGTTCTCTGCGGAGGCTGCAGGTCTGAAACCCACAGACTCAGATTCTGTGGTTTGGGGGCGTGGACCCTTCTCCCCGCCGGCTGCTCAGCTTTGAAGTCCAGTGTCTCACCTACTTAGGAAAAAGTGGGGGTGAGGAGGCTTCCTCTCCAGGCTGTAGTGAGAGCCTGCTGGGTGCTCCGGCCCCAGGGCCCTCCCTCTCTTATCTGACTATGGTGAGGCTCCATCCCTCCACTGAGGACCTGTGGCCGGGCTCCCCACTACAGCCCTGACCCAAAAGCCTCGGGGAAAGGCCCTTGCTGGAGAGTCAGGGTGCAGCAGGCCCCCCAAGCTGAAGTCTTTTGGTGCCCCAGGGTGGGCCTGGGTTCTCCAGGGCTGCTGGTGAGGCTGACACCTGAGAAGCCACCGAGACAGCAGCTCACACCCTGCGCAGGGCATACCAGCTGCTCCCAGGGCACCTGGAGTCTGTGGGGATGGGGTGGGTGTTCCTGCAGCCAAGGGGGCTCCTGTGGCCCATGGGGGCACCCCCTCAAACAGACTGCAGCCCTCCAAGTCCCAGGCCAGGCTTGAGACCCCAGCTTTGTGCACCAGTCCAG